GATACCTAAATCTAATGTTCATAAACATACTCTCGCTATACTCATCCCGGCGTAACATTACAGTACTATACAGATCTACATCGCACACTCGACGCACCTTTGTCCCACCCACGGTCAGACACCTAGTCGCAACCCAACCCACTCGTTGTATCATACATACCTACAGAGATTGATATTGCGAGAGATCTAAGACATTGCGATGAGTGCTTTGAACAGACATAACGCGCGCGCACACACACATACACACACACACACGCGCGCACACACACACACACACACACACACACACACACACACACACATACACGCACACACACACACACACGCGCGCGCACGCACACACACACACACACACACACACACACACATATATACGCACGCCCCCCCCCCCACACACACAGAAACGTGCACGCGTACACGCAAAGAAACGTGCACGCAAACGCCTACGCAGACGCACACGCACGCACAATCACGCCCGAATATCGGCTGATATTAAGAACACGATTTCTGTGACGGCTGCCTCTTTTGTCTCATTTTCTCCTTCCGTTTTCTCGCATTCGCTTTCTCTTTTGGTCTCTAAATGCGACACTGATGCCCTCGGGTGGTAGCGAACGTACGTGTGCATAACATCGTGCATTTTTCAGAGGCGGATCTCACTGTAATGTAACCTTAATAGCGTAACCTTAAATATAGCTGTTGTTGTTCGATCTTGGTGGATGCGGGTATAATGAAGCAATTGTGCCGTCTTGTGTAATGGTGTAAAATGCTGCCAAATTTATTTAATGCATAACAGTAAATGTATTTCGACATTACCGGCATGTACAGGCACAGGCTCACATTAGTGTATTATTTCACAATAACATATCAGCGTACAACTAACCTCTGACCAGCAAACCACGATATTATATGCGGATGCGGTATATGTGTATGCGTATACGCATGCACACGCGCACGTGTACGTGTACGTGTACGTGTAGGCCTACGTATGTATATGTGCATGTGCATGTGCATGTAGGGCCTACATATGTGTCGTACAGGTAATATAATGCTCACCATCTCGGAATATGAGGTTGTTTGCAACTGTGTACATTTTCACATCGCTGGCGGCAGTCAGTGTGGCTTCTACACCCATTCGTCATCGCTCCTGCTTTCAGCTGGGTATGTACGCACGCGAATCACGCGTCGGTTGTCCTCGCATCCACGCGTGGCGGATCTACGTGCGTGATAGCATCGTAGCCGCAAGCAAGCGCCTCTCAGAAGGTCGCGGCATTGTACGCCGGCCTCACCGTGAACTGCCGATCGCCATGGGCGCTTCGCTCGCCGCACCGGCGGCCAGCACGTGACCTCTGGCCGTCCGGCGCGCGTGGCGCCGATCACACTAGCGGCTGTATCACTGACACAGATCTCTTCACTTTCTCATCGCGTGCCGCGCTCACTTTCTCTACGGCTGCCGGCGGTCGGTACAATGAGAGCACTGTGAATGCGAGCGGGGGCAAGGATAGCAAGCGAGCCGCTACGCGTCACGAATTCGCAGAAAATGTGTGGCTGTAACTTGTTGATGTGTCGTGTATGCATAATCGTCGAGGCAGAATGTTTCCACGTACACTCTGATTAAACAAAATTGTCTTCAGCTAGTCAGTACGGGATTTTGTCAAATTACAATTAGCAGGGCGTAACGTGTTCATGATTTCTAGTTAATTTGTTGTTAATTAGCTAAAGTTATTCATAAACAAAACTAAAATTAATGATCAGAAAATGAATCCAGGAAAGAAAACGATCGAAATTTTTGATAAAAAATTCACTCTATTTTCTAAAACATTAGCAATAATATCAGAAATGGCACAACTGATCTTGTCACCTGATAAAATTAAATTAGGTGAGATAGGCTAGTAATGCTTCAAACTTTGGTCTTTGACTATTTGCTTATACGTCTCATTATATTGAGTACGTAGGTTGACGTTTGTGAGGAACTTCTGTGGCCCGCCTCGCTGTGTCATTCACCATTGCCCTACATATTGGTGTGACGCAAGCATGCCTTGCTATTATTTGCGGGATGATAACGTTTTCGGACCTTGATGAAAAGCTAATAATATATGCACGCGCAAGTTGCCAGCGCCCAAATACATGCGCTGTCATTGTGATGGTATATTACCAGTAACAGGACGTGAATTTATATGTCTCTCACTCACTCATTTCGACCATGACACCAAGTAAGAACATGACCGACCATTCTTTTCTAGGTATATGCATAGGGATGTAGGTGTGAACGTGAAATTGAAACGTGTACGCGCGTGCACACACACACACACACACACACACACACACACACACACACACACACACACACACACACACGCGCGCTTGCGCGCGGGGGCGGCGCGAAACAAAAAACACAAACAAACACAATACACACCCACACAGAGACACACACACACACACAACATACACACACACCATCATCACACACACACACACCATCACACACAGCACATTGACACGCATTCACGCACACGCACACGCACACTGCACGACGCCACACGCGAGCACGCACACGTCTCCACACGCACACGCACACGCACCCGACGGGGCACACGCACGACGCACGGGACGGCGAGCGAGCGGTGGCGACACGGCGACACACAGGGCGGGACATGACAGCGGACGAGTTCACACGAAGCGACAGCGACACACGCACAGCGCGCACCGCGCGCACACACACACAATATCACACACACACATACTATAAATATATATATATATGACTAGTTATATAGTTAGCGTACTATGATATCAGAGCGGTAATGGAATTAACAATGAGCATTAGGTTACATGCTGTCAATATCTAGCTGCGCTTTGACTATACTAAAGTTAAAGTCGACACACCGAACACCCGCCTGTCACGGTAAAAATACAAAGTCATGGTTATAGAATAGGGCTGTTGTGGAAATCGTCTTAATTCACGAGGCTTTTCTCGAAGATTACCATCTCGTTGATCACAGTCAGCCAGACCTGATGAAGAGGATGTAATTCTCGAAGCTTGTCAATTACAACTTTTTAAACACCTGTGCATTCTATACCTTGACTTTTGTTTTCTATACTATTCATACGTATCTTCATATATATTGTTATATTATTGACTTTATATATTATGGTATAGTATCATATATATTGCTCACGAATACCCGGCATCGATTGTCTTCGGTGTATGTATAACCCCACCCCCATTTATACACAGAAGAACATGAGCCGACTATTCTTTTCTAGGTATATGCATATAAGGATGGTAGGTCGTGAATTTTACGGTACGCGCGCGTGCACACCACACATCGCGGCACCCAGCACCCATCCTCTCACACCACGGCTACGCGCGGCGTGCACAAGACACAAACCACACTACACACCACACGACACACACACGCACAGCCCACACGCCACACGCACACGCGCACACGCACACCGTACCGACGCACCACTGCACCCCCGCGACGCGACATGCGCAGACGCACACACACACACACACCGACACATACACAACAGTCCAGCACGACACATGACACACCACATACACACACACACACTCCACATCACCACACCACGACACATCCACAGCACTTCGAGCAACCTTATCACTGCCACGCGCGCGCGCTGCGCGGCGCCACAATCCACACACCAAACACCGACAACACACCCCACTCCGCCCGCCTGCCCCGCCCCTGTCGCGCCACCATCACCACACCCTCTACTCGCACCGCACACTGCACACGCACGACGTTCACACGCACACCACACCCCACGCCACCCACGCTCAACAACACACACTCACACACCATCGATCTTATCACACACACACACACCTCAGCACACACACACACGGCACTCTCTCGTTAAATTATATTATACTTATATATACTCATACTGTACTTTACAGTATAGTATATATAAGTGGAGCGTCACACTGACTGTAACACCTGCTTTGTAGATAAAAACAAGAGTCACAGGTTAATACAGAATCAGTCGTGTTTAAAGTTTAATGGACAACGGCTTTCGAGCCGCATTACACTCTTCTTCATGCCACCCTCGAGCAGACCTGTCATGAAGAGCATTGTATCAGAATCTCGAAAGCCTTGGGTCAATTAAAACTTTAACACCCTGTATTTCTATAACCGTGACTTTGTTTTATATATAATATTATTAGTGCTGTACTACTACTATGATGTATTATCATATATAGTAGCGTATACTACATGAGTATGTTAGTATTATATCATATTTGATAGCTCGACGAACTACGGCCGGAACGATTGTCCTTCGGTGTATGTATAACCCCACCCCCATTTATACAATTCAGCGATGATGCAAAAATCAAAGGTGAAATAGAAACGGATACGTGCGACCTTCGCTGCACGTACTATAGTGTAGAGCGACTTGTACGCGCTACAAAGTTAAGGTTCTGCACTACATGTTTGCGAACCTTTACATGTGTGTGGGTGCGTGCGTGCGTGCGTGCGTGCGTGCGTGTGTCTGCGCGCGCACGTGTGTGTGTTTGGCAACGGCGTGCGCGCGTGAGGCGCGCCCGTGAATGCACTCACGCCCATCGCGCTGCCCTCACGCAAGGTCGAGTCAACCATGACCATTGTTCCTAAATAGATGCGAGCGCGACCCTCGTTGGGGTGAAGAAATGCCGCGTGAATGGCAGGGTCGCTGTCATTACCATCACGCGGTGACTATATAAGCCATCGGCCGACGGCGATGCAGACGTAGAGGTTGGATACGGCGGAATTCGTGTGAGATATCAACGTGCTAGCGGCGCACCGACCACTCACTTAAAATCTTTCTCCTGTGTGCGCGTGTGTGTGATACAATCTCTCGCTGCATCGTCGGTATTTCACGCGCTACCTTTGCCAGCGACGTTTGTCTACGACCGTCCAGCTACCACCGCTGCTACCATGTCTCGTGTTGTGTTCACCGCTGCGCTGATGCTATGCGTAATACCGCTATCAATGGCCGCTCCCGTGCCGGGCGCCAGCGGTTACGTCACGTCCGGTAACGCCAACGTTGCGTCACGGGTTGACGCGGAGGTAAGTAGCCTTAATAAACTGTTCACTGATAATATTGAATTTGGTTGAAATAAGTAAGTATTTTAAGCAGATCGCGCATTCACGTTTATGTACGCTTTCACCCAACCAAAACGTGCAGGTTCAATTTACTCAATTTATATAAATTGAAGCATAGCGTGCGCTACGCAGACGATGCCACTATACCCATATGTGTCCTCTTTATATGTCCTCTTTGTAGAAATACCTGGAAAGCTACGGTTACTTGAAACCAGGACAAAAAGTCACCGACAGAGATTTTACAGAGGCATTAAGGTATGTTGCCACGTTGCGATCCAGTGTGTATTTTTATCAAAAGAGAAAGACTTACAAAAATATACCCTGCGTCTGCACTCTATATACGCATCATATCATACATGTACTTGCTTGTCGCTCCCAGGTTTAGTTGTATTATTCATTCAGTAATAATGTTCTTCTACATATATCACAAATTGCATTCTTCCATAGATATCCCTAGCCTGATTCGCTCATAGATACCGCAAGCTGTATTCTTCTATTATAGCATAAAAGATCAATTCTTCAATAAATTGTATAAGTCTAAATAACCATTGACAAGCTATGCCGCAAGCTATGTTCTTCCATTTAACCCCAAAAAACTAGAGATTTCAATTGATTCCATGAGTTTGGATATTTTTTCGGGCTGAGACGTATGTCATCAAATTCATGTCCCATCAGCTACGCGTATCGAGGATGAGCTCCTGAGACATGTGCTGTTTAACATACGTTATAATCGGCAACGAAGCTACTTGCGGTCACCGCAGAATGTTCCAGAAGAAGTCAGGTCTGCCAGAGAGTAACGAGCTAGACAAGGAGACGATGCACCAGATGAACCTCATCCGGTGCGGGGTCAAGGACGTGGAGGACGAGTCAGACGTCAGGGGGCCGGCACCGCCTGGTGTGACAGCTATAGGAGCTCGCGTCAGCAGCCCGATCGCTCTGGACGATGGTGCGTGCGTGCATGCGAGCGTGCATATAATATACCGCGTGTGTATCAGCGCGTGACTATCTCTACCTGTGTTTATTCTATACCTATGTACATCTTACACATGTAAAGAATTAACTCGACGATCTTACAATGCCCCAGATACGCCCAGCCGTGTTTGATTTTCCCCGCTTTATTCTAGACGGACCCATGTCCGTTGATTCGCGGTGCGCGCGAGTTAATCGTTCGTGTACTTGATCAGCGTCGATCTTGCTTGACGCAACGATGTAGAACCAGTCCATTTGGTTCTACGATCTCTTAACTTTGCAAGCGTTAATCTGAGCGCGCCCGTGACCCTTACCCACACCGCGGTGTAAAACTGTTTTCGCACTGCTGCATGCTGCGCTTTCTTCGAGACGACCTTCGTCGCCTCGCTAATCTAAAAGTAAAAGTCGTCGGCGCCGACGCTCGCGCTTACATACGCGTGTGCGCATGCGCTGTCGCGCATCGCGTCTATTGTCGACGAAGTCGTCATAATTACTTGCAAATCATCAACTGATTTCACTCACATTTTGTCGAGCGGAGCGAAATTCTTTCACGGATGAGTGCGTGCACGCGCGCATCGCAACAACGGTATATACTCACCTCCGGCACAGAATCCGCACGCGCTGGCGACGCAAGCTCCTACTTGCGTACATAAGACCGTGTTGCATCGCTGATCGGGGGCGTGTCATAAGTGACGTCTAGTAACGACAAACAGTGGCGGTCATTCCGTATCCACGATGGCACACTAGCTATCATTCCCGCCCGAGACTGCGGTTTTAACCCAAGTAATAATACTCACTGCACTATAAATATCACAGAAAATACGATCGCGATTATATAAGCGCTAAACGCTGCTACCCGGATTAACTCGTTCCTTAATCGGTTTTTTTAGATTCATATCTCAGACGCTGGTGGTACCAATGTAACTTGACGTTTGCTCTCACAAAGGGAACACACCACAGGAGCGACGAGGAGCACATGTACGTATACATGAAGCGTGTATATCGATGATTCGCTATGGAGCTCTGAATGACGACCTGCATTAATGGTGTGCGTGGCATCACGCCTGGGGCGTGTGCGTAAAAATCGTATGAGTGTTTGTGTGATGCGATTCCTTGCCAGTGGCGTTCACGCGTGTAAGGTTGATGCGCTATACACATGTTTGCGTAGTAGTTTTACGTGACGCATATATACGGCACGACGTGACTTCATCAACACAAGTGTGCCAGCTGGCCTTGGATGTAAGTGCTGGATATGTGCCATGGTGTTTGGGGTGGGGTGGACGAGCTGAAATTAGCTGCCGTATCGATAGCGCATGTTCTTTTATAACTTCTCTAACCACCCGAATAACCAGATGCTAACTTTACTATTGCAGACCTGGTGTTCTCTGCTCTGCTCCAGTAAATGCGACGTTTCTCCTGTACGGAGAATGCCAAATCGTTCTGCTTCACTGCCTAACACTCAAGATGACTAATAACGTCTATAGCCTTCATGTTAACGCATGGAGCTTCGTACTGTTCTACGTTAAATACTGACTGCTCTAGTCTGGCTAGATACTAACAGTACTTACGCGTGTAGGAACATGATTGAGTCGGCACTGAAACAGTGGGAGGATGCGCTGCGAGAGGGCGCAAGACCCCACCCGGACGGAGTGACGTCGGCTCTTACATTCACCGCGCTGCCTCCCGCGGAAGCGCACAACGCAGAACTACAGTTCAGTTTCGAACCAAGAGAACACCGTGACGGCAATGCCTTCGACGGGCCGTTCGGGGTGTTAGCGCATGCTTTCTACCCGTACGTGAGCGGAAAGCTCATCGGAAAGGTATTGCTTTCAACTACAAACTAAAATTTAATACTTACATCTACGATTTGTATTCATATATATTTTTATTTCTTATAATTTTTACTTTACCATTTTAATTTCGCCAGATTCATTTCGATGGAGACGAGAACTGGGCTCCGAATAAGCTGATTGGACGAACCTTCTACTACGTGACACTTCACGAACTTGGTCATTCTCTCGGATTGAATCACTCGGACTTGCCATCTTCAATCATGTACCCGTTTGTTAGATCGGGGCTCGAAAGTAATGTTGCCCTTATGGAGGAGGACAAACAGAGAATTCGCGATCTATACCGTGAGTGCTCGAGGCGTCATTTGAACAAATAATCACTCGACCATTAAAAGCTTAACCTGTACTGAAACTAACTGAATCGTGGGATGCGGTTCATTGTATAGCACTTGATATTAGCCGTTCAACTATGAGGGATGAGTTTCTGAGATGAATGCGCGCACGTGTTACTCATTCGATTTCCATTTCCTATGTTTCAGCAACACGGCTCTGCGATTTATTCAATAACGCGCGAGGCAACCATCAAGCTGATCCTAGACAACGCCGTCGCGGCCGCTAGATGGCAGTGATTGTTAGCTTCAGTAGGAAGTGAAAACTATTAAGTATCCGGCCTAATGCAATATAAGTGGTTCGTCTAGTCACGTGACAAGTAAGCGTCACAAGCCGTTCATTCTATTTAGGTGTAGGAAATCACATATCTAATTCATTGTCCTCTTTAGTGCTTATTTCGTAACATGTCGCTATATTGCGGTTGCCGGTAGGAAAAATCTAGAATACTAAATAAGCTTCCGCAATAAAACAACGTAATAAATAAATATGTCAAATTAAATTTAAATAAATCGGATCGATGAAAGATTTCAACAAGTTTATATCCATCACCAGCATATTCTACAATGCGTCATGATAAAACATAAAAACTAAAAAAGTCGAATTAATGGGTGAACATTCGTGATCGGTACGTTGGAAGCGTTAGGTCACACGCAATGCGGCAGCATTCCAATTTTTATTGTATAGCAAGCGCTCAGTTATTTATCTCCTATAACTACTATTCCTTCAACGCGACAGTACGACGTGCCTGCCTGAAATTCCGTATCACACACACGCACACACACACACGCGCGCGCGCGCGCACACACGCACACGCACACGCACACGTACACGCACACGCACACGCGCACGCACACGCACACGCACACGCAAACGCACACGCACACGCACACGCGCACACACACACACACACACACACACACACACACACA